ACAGATTTGTGGTTATCAGAGGAAAAGGGAATTGAAGGCAGATGGGCAAAATGGGTCAAGGTGGTAAATTGTATAGCGATAGATGGTAAGCAGATGTATTGTGGTGATTATTTTGTAGGTTAAACAAATATTGAATTATTATGTTGTGTACCTGAAACTAATACATTATATACCAATTTTATCTCAATAAAAAAATAACAATAAATCACCATGTCTCAGGTGGACCCATAAGTTTTGTAATATGTTTTAAATAAAATTGTTTATCTAAAAAAAGGAAAAAAGGGGCACCTGGGTGGATCAGTCATTAAGCGTCTGCCTTTGGGTCAGGTCATGATCCCAGGGTCCTGGGATCGAACCCCGCATTAGGCTCCCTGCTTGCGGGAAGCCTCTTCTCCCTCTCCTGCTTCCTCTGCTTGTGTTCCCTCTTTTACTGTGTCTCTCTCTGTCAAATAAATAAATAAAATCTTAAAAAAAAATTAAATAAAAAATATAAAAATTAAAAAAAGTAATTCAATACTGTTAGAGCAGTTAAAAATGAGTACAGAAACATAACTTAAGGTAAGCAGTAACACAATCACTGGTTGTCACAAGATTTCACAAATATTGATATAGGTAAAATATTCAAAATAGATGAGTTAAATCAGACTTTTTGATGATACAAATAAACTTACAAATATGTTGGAACACTTTTTGATCTCACATATTTACTTTTTAGAAAAAAGAATCATGAATGTACAAGATATTATTTGCAGATATTCATCATACCATTATTTATAATACACTAAAAATTATAGTGTATTCATATAATGAAATACTATACAACCATTAATATAATTTTGAAGACAAGCATTTTCTTTTTTTTTAATTTATTATTGAGGCATAATTGACATACAATGTTATATTAGTTTTGATTTGACAATTCTATACATTGCTCAGTGCTTACACAATAAACATAGTCATCTGCCACCAGGCAACATTATTACAATACTATTGACTATATTCCCTATGCCGTGCTTTAGAACCCCATTTTATAAATATAAGTCTGTACCTCTTAACCTACTTCATCTATTTCATCCATCCCTCCACCCACTTCCCCAACAACCACTAGCTGTTTTCTGTATTTAAGAGTCTGGTTTTTTGTGTTTGTTCATTTCTTTAGTTTAGATTCCACATATAAATGAAATCATATAATATTTGTCTATCCCTGTCTGACTTATTTCACTTAGCATAATGCCCTCTAGGCCCATCCATGTTATTGCAAATGAAGAAGGAGCATTTTCTAAATCATGTTCTATAGAATAGGAATCCCATGAGATATTAATAGGTACTATATGCAAAAAGGATTCCATGGTCAAATAAGTTTATTAAAAATGGGGATAACCATGTTAAGCAGGTGTCTTTGCTGAATTCTTTCTAGGCTAACGTGCTTTAAGGTGCTCCAATAAGGGTAGAGTACGAACCATCTCTGAAATTTATGTATCCTTAGAAGACTTACATTTCATCAGGTATTTGTGTTTCAAAGAAGATACCTAGGAAATGCTGTGATGGGATATTTAATGACATGGAAGATGTTCACAATATGTTAGTAAGTAAAAAAAAAAAAGCTTACAAAACAATTTGTTTGACCTGTATGTATGCATATATGCCAAGAATATCCAGTGAATGTGAGTATGAAGGATAAACTATAAAAAGGGATGAAAATTGTTATTTTAAGGGCCCCTTCTGTAATCAAAACTGTCACCATATGCCATCACATTTTTGTTTACCAGGTCTGAACCCAATCCACACATCAGATTGGCTTCCATGTACTTGCATTATTATTACATAACTATCTATTCCTGGTCTCAGTAGGAAGTAAAGATATAGCCAAAGTCACCTAAAAACCTTTCAGCTTATCCTCATCTCAGACTTACACTGGATCTTTAAATGTATTAATTTTAAAGAATATTGATACAACTGAATTTATATATTTAAGAACTCTGAGCTTCTCAGCAAAAAACCTCCTGATGTTAGCATAATAATTAAAACATTTTACTGACTGGGATGCCTGAGTGGCTCAGTGGGTTGAGCATCTGACTCTTGTTTTCAGCTCCTGTCAGTCTCAGTCTTGAGCCCCCTGTCAGGCTCAGTGCTTAGTGGGGAGTCTGCTTGGGATTCTCTCTCTCCCTCTCCCAATCCCCCCCACCCCCACTGCTCACGTGCTTGTGCTCTCACTCTTTCTCTGTCTCTCTAGGATAAATAAATAAATCTTAACAACAACAACAACAACATTTTACTGACTTCAAAAACCTAGAAAACAATTTTCCTTTAAGGCTCCATTTAGTCCTAACCACAACATAACTTGTATTAATGGAATCTACATTGCAACAATGGTTTGAGATCAAATAAAATCAAAAGGCTCCACTGTTGCCTGAAGCACCTCAATTAACATTTTACAAAAGTTCCTACTACAAATTTAAAGAGATGGTTTTATGAGTTTTATGACAAGTTCACATTATCCCCATTGATGGGAATAAATTCCTTTGCAGACTACCCACTGAAAACCCAGTGCCATGAATTCACTCTAACCAGTTTCATACTGGAGTCCTCTCTACCAGTCATTCCTCATTAAGGTTCCTTTTACAACATGCTTGGATGGGGGGAAAGGAAGTCAATCAATGAAACATTCAATAATCACCAACTTCCTGCTGACTTTAAATCAAGATTAGCTAAACCTTTCCCATCTACTAACCCACAGCCATCCATTCTCTTCCACTACAATTACTATAGTTTCAGCTGATTTTCTAGCTTTTACCTCATAAGATTTTAATTCCATTTACTATTGAATTTTTTCTAACAGTATTCTAAGTAAATGTCTCCATTCCATTCTGAGGTATAATTTAGAGATACCCTTTATTTATCATCTTGCCCAACGTGCCAGTGAATCATGAGCACATGGAAGATTATACATTAATGATTCAGTACAAAGTAACTAAAATAATTCAAGTAGAAAAGCTTAAGACAAGATCAAAACTCCAGGGAGGGAAATTATATCATTGTATGTATTATATATATTATATAAACTTCTGCCTTTTAAATACCAAGACCTTCCAGACAGAAAGCTTAAAAAACCCACTTGGCTGATTAGCCATAGGCAATAAGGGAATTTTTTTCCTTTGATAACAGAACATAAGCCTGTAACAAAATTCTGCTTCTTCTTTTATAATATAGAAGTTACAGTATAGTTCCCACTCACCCTTAATCAAAGAATTTTCTCTTTATTATTTAAAGTAAGAAAAAGGAGGTCATTTTCCAAACACCTTATTTCTAAAATGCTGTTATTATTCGTCATTGAAATCCTAGTGCAAAATCCTAGAGTACGTGTTAACCTCTATAAGACCTGTTTTCTATTTCTTCCTATAAAATATTTCTAATCTCTACCTTCCCACTTCACTTCCAGCATTACTTGGGTCTTAATTGTGAAGGAAAGAAAATTCAAATATCTGACTGAAATAATTGCTTGCTCTTCCAGGCCTAATTCTGGTTAGGTCATTATTCATCTGCCCACCAGTAACTGAGTGAATGCCTACTAGAGGCACAGAGCTGTCCCAAGTGCTGAGGTGCAATTAAAGAAACACAGAAGATCTGACCTTCCTCTCAAGAATCTTATAAGCAATCTATTTGGGGATAAAAATCAAAGACAAAATAAATAGACAACAACTGTAAAATGATATAAAAACAAAAATTCAACAGACTGGCAGTCTTGAGGAAGGAAGGAAGAAAGAAAAAAGGGACATATTTAGCACTAGATTCAGATTCAACTGAATTTACTGGATGCTTACTTCATGCCAGGAACTCTAATTAGTGTTTTCACATATACTACTCATTTAATTCATCCTAAAATAACAATAGAACAAAAGCATGGTCTTGAAAAAAGCTGAGTAAAGGGGATGATAAAAAGATCTTACTAGAAGAGCCATGTGGAGAAGCAGTTTAAATAAAGTCAGACAAGTGTTAATCTCTCCCTATTATACTTTAACAGTTAATATCTATAGTTATATGGGTGTAAAAGAAGAGTATAAAAGGCAAATTGGTGAGTATTTTTCTTTTTAAAAAAATTCTAATTGGGAAAAAAGTACAGCCAGGTGTGGTGATAGATGTTAACTATACTTATTATGGCAATCATTTTTCAATATATACAAATATCAAATCATTATGTTGTACAGCTAAAACTCATATAATGCTATGTGTCAATCAGATCTCAAAAAAATAAAAGAAATTGAAGGTTGAATCCTAACATCCAGAGTTCAAAATGTAATCTTATCGGGAACTAGGGTCACTGCATATGTAATAAGTTAAAATGAGATCATTAGGGTGGACTCTTAATCCAATATGACTCATGTCCTTATCTATAGAGGAAACTTGGACACAGAGAAGGACACAGGGAAAAATTTCTGACGAGGGAAATTTCACTGGGAAGAAAAGTGAAAAACACAGTTAAAATGAGATCTGTGAATTATCTGTGGATGTCCTTGTTATCACGGCAAATAAAAAGTAGAAATGTGTTGCTTTATGCCTCTCTCAAGTCTTACATGTTTAGCTTACATCTAAGATGGATCATTTATCAATGTATGTCTTATTTCCCAAGCTCCTAGAGGTTGTGTCTTATCTACCTGTATGTTGGTTACAACACTTGGAAATGTGGAACAGCAGTACACTCTGAAGTAAGGAGATTCAAGGGTTCAAGTCTCAGCTCTGCAAGTTTATTCTAGCTATTTACCTTGGACAAATTTATAAAACTAGGAGTCTCAATATCCTTGTCTAATAAAACTCTCTAGGAGTTCTTATGAAGAATAAAAGATATGCAATTAAAAACATTTAGCATAGAACCTAGCATCTAATTAGGTGCTAAATATATATTAGTTCCATTTTTGTCTTTGCAGGCTGCACACAATAGAACACAATTATGAAGTTGGAGTCCCAGTCATTTAGAGAATTTCCAAATAAAGGTATACACTTACCTTGGTTTTCAGCTGGTCTCAGATTTGCTAAAGCAACAATCTGATGCCCAGCAGCAATGCACTGCATCATATTGTAACAGCTATCCTTCCCACCACTAAAAAAGAAATAAAAAGATAAGTATCAGGTTACTGACCATTATTAAACATAGAATCATTAGATATCAAAATATATTTATTCAACTTTTCCAAATACTTGAGGGACTGCTATACAATTAAAATACAAAAAAAAACCCACATGTAATTTCCATAGCATTGAGCAAATGAATCTGAATGCCTGAGGTTGCTACTCATAAAAGGCTTATGAAATTATGTGCCATTTTAACAAAGAGCATTCTAAACAAAATATGGTAACTCTTTGGTTTATAATAGTGCCTTTCCTTTATATACAAAGTGCTTTGAAAATAAAAAAAATGATTTCATTTTTATATTATATATATTCCTTAGATGAAATTCTCTATGGAAAAGTAGAAAAAAATCTGTTCTACTACTGTAAGAAGTCTACTGTAAGAAATCTAACAATTGGCCACCATCACCAACTAAAGACTCAAATTAAAGATTTGAGATCCAATCTAATGACAAAGTTTGATGTACTTTGTGGGTTCACATTTTGTAGAGACAGAAAACAAAATGCTGAAGTTAAGTATCCGTACAATCAGTACATTAGCCATCACTGTATATATGATGGCAGGATAGGCTTGAGCCTTAGAGCTAATAAACAGATTGAAAGGAACTTCTAAATTCTAGGACCAAATCTCCTGAGGGCAGGGGCAAATCACTTAGTCAAAACAAGTAGTTTCATCTATAACAAGGCTGAATGGCAACCTTTATGCCAACAGCAACCTTTATGACAAGTTCATCTAATAACAAGGTTGAATGGCAACCTTTATTTTGGTTTAAAATCGGCTGTTTCTCACTAGACATATTTCTTCCTTCATTATCATTGCCTCTCTTTCTTCCCCTCCTTTTCCATTCTTTCTATTTTTTGCCTAAAATCTGCAAGTGTACCTCCAGGCAATAGTCAGATATACTTACAGCCCAAGAAACTTTTAAAAAGGGACTGCTTTTCCTAGAAGCTGGCCCTTTTGCTTTGTATTTTAGTTCCCAACATTTATCTGCCTCTACTACATCCAATCAGTAACTACCATTCCAGAACTTCTCATGGGAGATCTCAAGAGGCATAATGAAATTATACATCATGCTCCCTTTCCTCAGATTCTAATAGTCCCCTATTACATCTTCCACAACTTCCCCTATTGAACTTCACTGCTCTATTTTCTCAGGACAAAAAGATTTGACTAATTCTTTAGAATATTTAGAATATTAAAGATTAACAGGTATATAACCACAATTCTAATTCTTCAGAATATTAAAGATTAAAGGGTATACATCCACAATCAGAACTTAGCTTTATAATTCATTTGAAAATATGCTAAGATTTCAAACATGGTTTTAAAATAGTATTTCCCAGGGGCGCCTGGGTGACTCAGTTGGTTAAGTGTCTGCCCCTGGCTCAGGTCATGATCCCAGGGTCTTGGAATCAAGCCCTGCATCAGGCTTCCTGCTCAGCAGGGAGTCTGCTTCTCCCTCTGCCTGCCACTCCCCTTGCTCACGTTCTCTCTCTAATAAATAAATAAAATCTAAAAAAACAAAAAAACAAAAACACAGTATTTCCCAAACTGTGTTCTATGGAACACTAGTGTCCAATAAAGACTGTAAGAACAAAAGGTTTGGGAAATGCTGAGTAACTTACTCACCTCTCAGAACATTATGAAGTACATAAGCATATGTTAGGTGAGAAGTCCTATAAAAGATTAGAATTTTAGTTCCCAACTCTGGTATACTAAGCAAAGTCACTCAATGTGCTCATTATAAAACTAGAGAATGGTTTAGCTAATTCTCGGTATGTCATTCAACTGTGAAACTGAATAATTCAATCTTTTGTGTATAAGGAGAATAATGTTCTTTATGTTCTAAAGATATGTGAGAATCTTGGTTTCATTTATTCCTTAGAGCACACAAACATATTCCATCTCTCATTTTAGTACACATACACACACACACACACAAGATATATTACAAATAGATTCACTGTATTTAAGTTTAAATTCATATATATTCAAATGTATATTCATATAAATGTATGCATTCATATTCATATAAATTATGTTATATATTCATACTTATAGCATTCATTCTCCTAACATTTATACAGATCCTACAATTTAGCAAGAATTTTCCAACACTGCCATTTTTAAGTAATTTGCTTTTTTATCTTAACAGTAATATATGCACATTACTGAATATTTACTGTAATGGATTACAGCAATCTTGTATCCTTCCTTCCAAGATCTGAATCTTCAGTTGGTGTATCTCACTTCAGTGGTTAAACTTCTGGCAAACTGCATATGATGTGAATTACTCATTTCCTGGACTACTTTTTATTCTTGTCTATTTGATCAAATGAAGACCACAGTGGTCAGAGATTAATCACTTACAGAAGAAAATTTGCTGAATAACAGTAATTATTTTGAGGTTATAAGTCCTAAAAATGGCATCGAAGTAAAATAAATTGGAATATTCCAGACACTACAGAAGAGATCAGAATGTTACATCAAGAGTTCTTAACAAGTCACTATTGTTAGCCAGTATCAGTTAATTAGAACATTGAACAAAAAAGTTTATGAAATCTTCAATGGGCTTACAAAAGAAAACATGGTTGTGGTGCATCTCATATATTCTATACAGGTCCAAATCTCATCAAATTTTCAAGTACTGCACTCTAAATTCCCTTTTAAATGGTACTACGTTTACTTTTGCTTCAGTTTACAGATTGCATATGGACACATTTAAACTGGCCAGCCTTAGGTTATTTTAGGACTTACTTCAGACACCTAAATATGATGAGCTACTATAGATTTCAAACTTCTTTTGGAATAGACTATGTTACCATAGGTCAATCTAAAAGCACTTAAAGTGTATTAAAAGCAACTGGCTTTAGAATAAAACTGATAAAATTCCATTTTAATCCCGAGGGAAGAGACCCTTTTCCTGTACTTGAGCCCCAAGGTAAAACACACCTTTGTCACAAGCTGGTGAGGGAGAGGTGGCCTCCTTAAGTGGGAGGGGCCTGGAGCTATTAACAGCCTCGGGGGATAAAGGCGGACCCGAAGGACCGACCAGAAAGACTGAAGGAACTATGGAAGAGGACTAAGTGAAACCGTGGCTTTCAAACGTCACTGTCCGTTACACTTTTTAAGAATGCGACCCTGGGCCGAGTCAGAACAATGAAACCAGTGCTCTGGCAAGAGAAACCAGACATGGGTGGGTTTTAAAGTTCCGCCGGTGAATCCAAGTTTGAGGGCCAGAAAATCAGAGGCGGGGACAGGGAGACGGGAGCAGCGCCGAAGCCAGCGCCGCGGAACACCGAGGGCAATGGCCTGAAAACTCCGCCTCTTCCTGTGGCCGGGAGGAGCCGCTGGACCCCCCGACACGCGGTTCCCACACACTCTCTTTACCGCGCAGCCGAAAGCGGTAGCTGCAGCTCCCACCAATCAGCAGGAAAGGATGAGAGGCTGGCAGGTGGGGAGGAAGGTCGCTCCGGCGCCGCGTTACCTGATCAGAGCAGCGACCCTCATGCTGGGCACAGTGCGCGTGCGTGCGGCGGGCGACGGCGGGAGCCGGGAAGTTGCGGCCGTAACCCGCCGCCGCCGCCGCCGCCGCCGCCGCCGCCCGCCGTGACGCGCCCCGGGGCCTCGCGCGGGTGTTCGCCTCGCCGCCTGTCATTGGCCCGGCACGGCGACCCTTGCGACTGCCTGCCAGACGCCCGGCCGGGGAGGATGCGCCACGTCGGCGCCTCGTCCCTGTGACGGGGACCTCCTGGCCCGGAAAAGAATGATGTTTAGGCACGTCCTGACCACCTAAGTGAGGGCACTGAAGCTGCTCGGGAAAGGGCAGGGTCGGCGTCGCCGAGCCCAAGTGCGCTGGCCACGTATTTGTTTCGGTAGGAGAATATTCAAAGTCATTTATGCTGCAGATTGAAACACTTTGAACGTGCAGAGGGAGAGGAAGTTTGCCTTTACTTCCTTAGCCACCTGCGAAAAAACTAACTGCACCCTTTGTTTTGTTTTGTTTTGTTTTTACCTTATATCTCCTTTGTATTATAAATCTAAGTTTGGAGCTAGCCCCCTGATCTCGAAGCCGCCTGACCTCGAAGCCCCCTGGGGTTTGGCCCTTTGCGTAGTACAGAAGCTGAGAAGCCGGGGGAAGAGAACAGAAAGAAAGAAAAAAGAAAATCTAGCTTCCAAATTCATTCACTAAGTATTGAATGCCTCTCGTGTACCAGGCACTGATTTAGGCCCTTTGGGATACATCCATGAATAAAACAAGGATCACTATCCTAGAGTTTATATAGGGTGGATAGAGCAGACAATATACAGGTTAAAAAATTATATAGTATGTTAAAAAGTGATAAGTGCTATGAAAAAAAAATAGAGATTGAGAGGATTCAGGAAGTAGGGAGGATTTGGAGTAGGCGGAAGGGCAAGTTGCAGAATTAAAGGGCTAGATAGGACTTACTGGGAAGGTGGGAGTTGAGGCAACTTAAAAGAGGACAGTTAGCTGTGTATAACCAGGGGTGTGCTCCAGGCAGGAGGAAAAGCTAGAGCTTTTAAGAATACATCTATTAGGAGGCTAATGCAGCAATGAGGAGAGAAATGATGGATCCTGGAACCAGGATGGTACTAGTAAATTTGGTGAGAAGTAGGAGGAGTCTAGGTCTATTTTCAAGGTAGAGTCAATTTAAATGGACGGATTAGATATGGGATGTGAAAGAAAGAAAAACATGAAGGATGATACCAAAGTCATGAATTAAATAATATATGTAAGATATTTAGAATTATGCCCAGTATATAACAGTCATTCAATTTAATTATACTGTAATGTTCTTATTAACTCCAGTACTCTTCGTATGAGTGACTACAGCAGTGACAGTCAGCAGTGACTTAAGCATCTAAAATGATGCATTTTTAAAATTATGCATTTGTGGATATTTACCAAATGAGTCAAGTATTTAAAGAGTTTATAGTGTAGTTGAGGACATAAGACAAATCTATTAAACATATTCACAATACAAAAGGGCATATTTTGGAAGTAACAAGTTATGTAATGCATATGTCAAGAACCCCATGAGTTGAACCCAAGAGGGTAAATGCTAGAATGAGGGCAGGTTTTCAAAGATGGGCAGAAAAGAGCAGGAGGAACAATCGGACCTTACAAACAAAGGTAACAAGACAGGAGGAGTTCAGAGCATGTTACCCAAAATATGCTGCTTCAACATGTTGATTATTTTACATTAAAGGCACTTGAGAAACAGTAGATGCAGGAAGGGCACTCTGACCCTTTTTATTCCTGAAAGGAGGGAGTAAAACTCCCCTACAGAAGGTCCCCTCCCTGTACCAGGGATAAAGAAGATATTCTTATTGCCAGAGAAAGGGAACTGAGGAATAGAGGTGATAATGACTTAAACATTCATTCCTAAGGGGTTGTAGACTTTAGTTATCATACCCTTCTTAGTCCAGGGTTATTGGGTATATCCATTCACAGGTACCATTGGGCAAGGGAATACCAGGAGGCACCCAAGTAGATCACCTGGGCTCCATAACTATTCTTCCTCGTCTCTGCTATGTGAAAGCAGCCCCATCTCTTCTCGCTAATAAGGGTCAATTATCCTTGGTTGCTGGCCCCTGGGTGCAAAGGGTTAAAAATGTCCTACCACTAAATATCTTATATTTCAATAGATCCCTACTGTTGTGCCCCTGGTAAGAAAGAAAACCTTGAAGACTGGGACTTCTAACTCTGCTCAGTTGTGGGAGGTGAAGCACAATATTCCCCCCTGGGTCATTGGGAGTGATTGTAAATGAGACCATTCTTGCTTTCACCCCTTAGTTCCCTGATCCATATATTTTTCCTATTGGAAACATAGTTCCATACAGAGATCTCTGATTTAGTGCCTATACTATATCGTGAAGGATGGTGCACCATCATTGTTGAGTATTGTCTTTGAGCTGCTGACTTAGCTGTTAACTTCAGTAGGCTTTTCCAGTACTCTGTGAGGACAGTTTCATGTAAATAGTACAGTATATGATACAACAATTAGATCTCATGGATATGGGCCCATTCCTGTACTTCATTCTCTGTGAAATGGGTATATTTATGAATGCTGTGCTAGATGGGATTCTGTGCTTGTAGAGTTAGCACTGCTAGCAGAGGCATTGCAGACCAGAAAGGCCAGTTAGTATCCCTTCTATGTTCAGTCATATTCTGGGAGTAGCCCGGGGAGGCATGGTATGCTATGAACTCCACAGTGGATCCAAAAGTATGGCAGTTGAAAGGTGTCAGTCATCTGTGCTTCCCACAGCAGGTGTTTTTGAAAGGATATCTGAGTGGGTCACCTCCATGGCTGCCACACCGATGCAAAATGACTTTTACAGCATCACATGATGAGGAACAGGAATGTTTACACTACTTGTTTCATATTGGTCCTGTTGGAGTAAGAAATGTAGAATGAAGAGTTCATTCAAACTTAGAATAGTATTTGAAGGAGAGTCAATCTGAATTTGTAAAATTCTAAATAATAAGCAACAGTATTTTTGTATTTTTGTATTTTATTATGTTATGTTAATCACCATACATCATTAGTTTTGATGTAGTGTTCCATGATTCATTGTTTGCGTATAACACCCAGTGCTCCATGCAGTACGTGCCCTCTTTAATACCCATCACCGGGCTAACCCATCCCCCCACCCCCCTCCCCTCTAGAACCCTCAGTTTGTTTCTCAGAGTCCGTAGTCTCTCATGGTTCATCTCCCCCTCTGATTTCCCCCCCTTCATTTTTCCCTTCCTACTATCTTCTTTTTTTTTTTTTTAACATATAATGTATTATTTGTTTCAGAGGTACAGGTCTGTGATTCAACAGTCTTACACAATTCACAGCCCTCACTGTAGTACATACCCTCCCCAGTGTCTATCACCCAGCCACCCCATCCCTGCCACCCCCCACCACTCCAGCAACCTCTAGGTATTTATCCCAGAGAAATAAACACATATGTCCCTGCAAAAAAAATGTGTTACATGAATGTTTATAGCAGCATTATTTATAATAGCTGAAAACAAAAGCAACCCAAATCTCCATTATGGGTGAATGGATAAACAAATGGTATACCATGGAATACTGCTCAGCAATACACACAACAATATGGATGAATTTCAAAAGTATGCAAGTGAAAGAAGTCAAACACAAAAGACTGCATTAAGGATGATTTTGTTTGTATGAAATTCTAAACAAGGCAAAGCTACTAGTGATAGAGGATCAGTGTTATCTGGGGTCAGGGATGAGGAGAGGTCATCAATGGCAAAAGGCCTTGAGGGGACTTTTTATAGTGAAGGTGCTGTTCTACATATTGCTAATAGCAGTAGTTATACAATGGTATGCAATTACCAAAATTCATCAAACTCTACACTTAAAATTTGTTAAAATTTTTATATGCAATTAATGTCTTAACAAATTGTCAGTAAGTTATTGATAAGGATGGAGCCAGTTTTTATTATTTGATAAATGATACTCCATTAATTCACTTTCTCAAAATGAGTATATGAGTATATGTATATGTACTATAGGAAATAAAATTTGAAGGAGACTAGACTATTTGTAGCCATTGGTGGGATATCCTTTTTCTTTCATTCTTTTTCCCAAACAATGGGAGTTCTGGAATTCTGTTTCTAAGATGTTCTAGGAGGGGTTATGTATTTAAAAGTGGAGGCAAGGGGACTTGTCTTGAATCTGCATTTGTATGGTAAGCAATACTCTTATTTAAGTTGTGAGTTTATTCGAGGGTAGTATTAGACATTTTAGGGGAGCCAAAGCCTCCAAAACCATCTTTAGTTGCTTTACAGTTTCAAATACTATATTGATTTTAGGCACCAGTCAGTTATAATATCTGAAAGGCAATTTGCATTACACATTAATATTATCAACAACGTATTTTAAAACTGTCTTAAGGGTAAGATTTTACTTTTGCAGTTATCTAATTTCTTCACTGTTCTGTGTGTCTTTTCATTGTTCTGTTTTACTATACCCAATTTCATAGAGAAAGATAACAGTACCATATGTGTTGATTTTATTTCCAAATTCTGACAAATCTTTACATTTAGACCCTTTATCCCTTTACAGTCTCTATGTGTATATTCAATAAATTAAAATGCAATACCAACCCTGTTTTTAGCCTGTGTCCTTTTTGTGGACTTCTGACTATATCAAAGTTTGAAAAGTTATTCCAGTATTTTCCTAAAAATATGTTTTGGAGTTGGACATACTTGAGTTTGAATTCTGGTTCTGAGATATTAGTTTGTAATTTGGCAAGATGTTTTTCC